ACACACGCTGCATGGGGCCACTGTTGTCCAACTACACACACACACACACACACCACACACACAACCTTGCATTGCCTTTTCTTCCTTGCAAAACACGGGAACGCCCAGCCTGCCCGTGCAAAGACCACCCTCGCATTCTCATGCCTCACCTGATCCGCGCGCCTGTTCCTGGGTCCCCCTCACTTCACCGCTTCCTGGAGGCTGCCATGTAAACCTGACGTTTCAGCCCCCATAAGCCACCGAGGCTGGGGAAGAGGTGGAGCTTACGGGAAGCAATGGGCTCACGCAAGCAGGCAGAGTTTTGCTGATGCGCGGTAGCATCGTGGTTCTTATTCACACGGTCCAGAGGAGGCGGCCGATGGCGGCGCTCGACTTGCCTGGGTTTCCTTTCTTGCTTTTAGTGGGCCCAGCGAGCGCAGCTAATTAGTAAGCAGCTGGATTCCCTTCTTACAGGATTATATATTTTAACCGAAATACGGGAGGTGTTGAGTCTACGGAATAGAAAATCGAGCTGTGTTTATAGCGCACGCCCTTTTTACAATCGATGGGTAACGACGGAGAGGCAAGAATTTAAGCGTTACAGCTTTTCTTTCCGCCATTACGGATACTGCCAATTTTGCTCCTGTTTTACATTCCTCTGACATACCAGAATAAAAAGATGTGCCCTTTATAGTTAGTTAAAAACCAGCCTGTATAGCCTTGGGCAAGTTCCACAGTCTCAGGACATCCCCCAGAAGAAGGGAATGGTAAATCACTTCTGAGTGGTCCCTGTTTGCTTTAAGTCAGAATTGACTTGACAGCATGCAGTTATTATTATTAGTTTGTAAAGCCACATAATAATAAGTAGTGTTACTTGCCTAAGATACTTTGGGCATGGGGGGGATTAAGGAATAACTTCCCTGAGCTGGGCTACTTGTTGCAATACAAAAGAGTAGGTATTCTTGTATTGTATGCCTGAAGGATGATGGCAACCATGTCAGTGACCATTAGCCTTCCATATACAGTATTTTGTATTGCAACCATCACAATTCCCCAGCATAAGCCAGCCTGGGTGAGGCTTTTGTAAGTTGATGCTGAAACATCAGCTTGCGGGCCAAAGGCTCTCGGCCTGTTGATTCCCCCCCCCTCCGCCCACTTCTCAGTCATTTATTTTTGCTAACCACAAAAACAATTAATTGGTTGTAACAAAACCACAATTCAGCTATGAACAAATATAAGAAATCATTAGCAACAATGTTAACAAAATAGTATTTAAAACCAAGGATAATAATAGTTTTTATCTATTATTAAGTATTCATCAAAATACCTGAGAAATGATCACGGAGTCAACAATACATTACCCTCCCAGTGTTTGGGATTATAGTGCCCATGCGCCCCACTATAGTCTGGGGGTGGGGCTTCCTCAGTGTTTGGGATTATAGTGCCCATGTGTGAGGGTCCCCTTGTCTTCGCCTCCCCCGACCCCAATAAAACAGGAGACGCCTTAGTACCAAACACCTTGTCTTCATTTATTAACTGGGGAAAGGGTATCGAAGTGTCTATTAAGCTAGGGATAAACTTCTCCTGAGGGAGCAACGGCTCAATCAGGGGCACCCAATCTTCGTCAAACGGATTACTTGACTTCGAAGCCCATGGACCGGCCTGAACCTGTGAGGGTTCTTCGGGTTCGAAGTCATCTGGATCTGGTATCAATAGTGGGGTGGCCTCTTCATACCCTGCATATCCCCAGGGTACGTGGTTCTCCGTCCTTGAGTCGCCCCAGGGTCCTGGTAGCAACCCAGTTTCCTCAATTCCTCCAGATGCCATCGCCTCTTTCCTTCTCTCTCTTTCTCCACTCTCTTCTCCTCAACCAACTTACGTCGCCACTCCCTGGTCTCTCTTTCTCCCCAGTAAGAGGGGTGTACTACCGTTTCTCTCCTTCTCTTCTCCTCAGCCTCCCTCCTAGTGAGACGCACCTGTTCCCACTGGCCGGTCCAAGGGTCTTGGATGGACACCCATTCCCATCCACCCTCGTCCACGTCACTCCGGCTACTGACTTCCCCTGCCGCTCCCTCCTCTGGCTCCTTCCAACCTCTTCCCGCCCAAACCTGAGGAGTCTGGGTCCCTATACTTACAACAATGTTAACAAAATAGTATTTAAAACCGAGGATAATAATAGTTTTTATCTATTATTAAGTATTCATCAAAATACCTGAGAAATGATCACGGAGTCAACAATACATTACCCTCCCAGTGTTTGGGATTATAGTGCCCATGCGCCCCACTATAGTCTGGGGGTGGGGCTTCCAGAGACAAGGCACCATCTGAAAAGACCCTAGGTAGTTCTGGCTACTACCCCTCAAACCTCAGAAAGTTAGAGGACTCCATGTAACATCTCTGGAAGATCTGATGAAGTAGTTCAAATGAGATTCTTGTCCTGCTCTTTCACATGGCATTCTATCAAGAACAGGAATCTTGTAGCCTTTTTTCAGGGGCTGCCATGGATGGGAAGAGGATGCAAAGAGCAAAGCTTTTCTTGCTCACTTGTCATATGAGCTGTGCTACATAGCAATAGAAGGCTTGGAAACTTATCAATAAATTAATTGGTGGAGGAAGAGGAAAATAAGGGGAGAAATAGTCTTATTCCTGTTCTTGGATCTTCACATTGTGTAGTGAAGGGAGAAAAGCTGTAAACCCTTACAACATGCATCACATCACTAAGCTGCATCCAGGTCATATACCATAATTTGTTTTGGTCTTCAGCAAGCTAACTTCTTCCGGCTCCCTCCACCAGCAATAGGAATCCACACATTTGTGTCACACCTATCCCCCCACACACACACATACACTGTGTAACCCCAGCTGGAAAGAAAAATCTGCCCAAAAAGAATTGCAGCAACTGAAAGTCTTTGGAGGGTAATGACCCTCCTTTTGAAACAACAAACACACACCTGTTTCACCCAACAATAAAAAGGTTATTTGTTTTTGGGTGTTCTTTCCAGAACCTTAGCTTTTGCCCAGCTCTTCTCTCAGCTGTACATCCTATAAGCTCATGGTTCCAGCGTCAAGCTGTTTGGCTAGTTTACATTATTGGTTTCATTTTTAAATGTATGCATCAAGGGATTCAGCCAAGTATATAGACTTTAGCCCACCCTATTTGGGGGTACTTCCATGACATGCACTCAGTTTAGGTGAGCTTGTTATTTGTGGGGACCAGTTGGGTTGTCATGTAACACTAATATGTCTTATCTGAGCCTATGGTTGAGGGTATGGTTTCCAAATCATAGGAAAGAACATCATTTTTCAAAAGATTTTGAACACTTGAAAAGACAAGCGGTCTGCATGCAAAGCAGTGGTACAAGATTTCTATGGTTCTCTCACTTGCTCCTGTCCTTGAAAACATTTGCAAATAGCTTCTCTATGTGAAGGAGGATGTTATCTAGAAAATGTATCAACGGTGTTGGTTTTTTCCTAATACATTGTCATCTGCTTTCACTTGGAGAAGAAAATGAAGAGAAATGGAGTGAAGGACAAGTAGAAAACCCTCCTGAAAACAAGGAGATTTTTAAAAGTAGAGTTAGTATGGCAGGAGTATGGCTAAAAGGTAAAGGTAAAGGTTCCCCTTGACAATTTTTGTCCAGTCGTGTTCGACTCTAGCCATAGAGCCAGCGTTTGTCCGAAGACAATCTTCCGTGGTTACATGGCCAGTGCGACTTAGACACGGAACGCTGTTACCTTCCCACCGAGGTGGTCCCTATTTATCTACTTGCATTTGTATGCTTTCAAACTGCTAGGTTGGTGGGAGCTGGGACAAGCGACGGGCGCTCACTCCGTCGTGTGGATTCGATCTTACGACTGCTGGTCTTCTGACCCTGCAGCACAGGCTTCTGCGGTTTAGCCCACAGCGTAACCTTTTAAAGCCCAACTGTGGAGAAAATCTCCAGAATTTTTTTTTCTCTTATGGCCATAATTCTAATAAACAAATATGTCCTCTGAAGTTTCCACCATGGAATCAATCTGTGAAAAGGAAAAGCACGGTTACAAACACAGAGGAGATATTATTAGGAAGTCAAAGCCAACCTCAGGGTCTCAGTGGATTTGCTCCCCGTGTTCAGAGGTGTACATGGCTTTTCTTCACCTTATAAATGTTTAATGCTGCAAATACAGAAACAATTGCTTGCAGCACATGCAAAATGTGAACAAAGCCTTGCAGGTTATTCAAAATCAAGTAAAGCAAAGGATAGACCTGATATCCTTTTGGTGATAAAGGCAACAAATTCTTCATATCCAGAATTGAGGTACTCTACTGGAGTCCCACAAAGACCACACTCTCTGACAACTTTGAATTTTGTTATTCATATATTCACATAAAAATTATATTTCCTTTGTATTTCAGCTGATATGATAATCAGCTCTCCCAAATAAAGGGACGTGATCCTATCTCCCCACACAAATTCCTATAGTCTCAAAATGGCAGGAATGTTTACTATAGGATTTGATATGTTTTCTTGATTGTTTCCTCAAGTGTTAAGAGCTACCCAACACATGTAGCCTTGAGCAAATTTTTACAGGTGGATTTTCATTTACCCTGGTTTAGGAAAATGACTTTATTAAATGTGGCCACTACCACTGAGCTGCAAAGAGAACAGCAGAAGGATGAATGGTAAGGACCACATGTAGGGGAATTATATATGTTTAATTGCTTCCAGGCTAAAGCAAGTTTGCTATAGTTTGGGGTTACCCACAGGACGTGCAGTGTGGTTTCTAGAGAAATACAATCATGCAGCTTGAAACAGCTCCCAGTTTTTAATGGGCAAGGGAAATCACAGTAGATCATCCGCTTGGTTTTATTGTTAACAGGCTAAATCTGGGAGGAATTTCCCTTCATCTATCAAGTCAGCAGCACAAGTGCAAGCACATTTTATAGTTCTGTGATTGTAAAACTTGATCCATTGATGCCTAGGGGATTTTTTAAAATGTTGACTTGCACAGGAGTCGCAACTAAACATTATGAAGGAAGTTATGTAAATGGAACTGTTATAAACAATACTTTTCTAGATTACTGTGGCACAAATGTCTAGGGCTGGAAATGTGGGCCTATCTGCTGCATCATTAATAGATGACAAGCCACTTGTATACGGTGAAGACCTGGAAAAATACATTCACAGCCCTAAACAAGGACTATGAAGCCAAATGTTCAGCCTGAATATCTAAATTAGGAGATCTGTTTGAGGAATATGGCAAACAAGTCAGTGCTCTATCCCAGTGGTTCTCAACCTTGAGTCCCCAGGTGTTCTTAGACTAAAGATGTGGAGGTGGGCA